GCTGAGGCGGTCATGGACTGAGGGGGCCTTGAGGCGATCGTGCACCGAGGGCCGCTTCGAGATGTTCTCACGTCGCTGAGACGCGGAGCTCTTGGCCTGCTGTACTGTGGCGGTCTCGAGAAGGTCTCGGAGCTCACCGCGGACCCATCGCCCCTCCGTGGTAGAGGGCTCGGGCATCGCTCGGACTAGCATCGCCGCCGCCGCGACATTCTGGCTAGCGCGATTGAAGATTGGGGGTTGCTCACTTCCTTCGTCGTTGTTGATGCGGCGGTGTACGTCATGGGCCCTCTGCCGGGCCCCTCCACCGTCACCGCGGCCTTGCTGCTCCTGCTCGAGAGTGTCTCAGAGCTGCTACAACAGGAGTTGATCTTGGTCGACTTTTGTCTGGAGCTCACGGAGCTACTCTAGGTCCAGGCGTCGGATATCCCCGGGGGCGATGTTCACGTTCCGCGCCGCCCAGAACTCGACGAGCGGGGGTGTGGCGTCGCCCGCCCCTTGGCGGAGTGGGACCGGCTACCTGCCCTCTCACCCTCGTCACTTGCCCCTGGCATTCCGAGCCCGACGTGGAAACTCTCTCGAGTGGGATCGTAAGTGCTTTCGTCATCGGAGTCGGAGTCACCGAAGCAGTAGTCGCTTGTGGCCAAGAAGCGGCGCATAGCCTCGGGGTCACGAAGCCCGGAGAAGTCCGCTCCGGCCCATGCCTCATCCTCCTCCGAGGATTCAGTGTGGGTGTGGGTCGAGATTGTGGTGGAGAAGTCGAGGGCGAATCGTTGGTGGTGTCCCGAGGGCTCCGTGTGAGCGGAGGCGTAAGCGAAAGCGTAGGCGGCGGCGATGTTTTTCAGCCCGAAGAGGTACGGGGATGGTGCCACCGCTGGGCTCCGCTTCGCCTGAGTCGATTCCTCAGGAAGTGGCGGGGCAGAGCTTGACGATGGGACGTCGCTGCACGCTACTGGCGTCTCTCCCCTGCCCAGGCTTAGGCTAGACAGGTCCCTAGCTAGAAACTCTGTACCAATAGCCGGGCAAGGGATGTCGGCGGAGTGCGGCGCGTAGCCCTGAGTTCGTGTGGCGTCGGAGTAGTCCCGCTCGCGTCGTGCCTAGCGAGCGTGACGAGAGCGGCGGCCCGGGCGCCGCCTGCCCTCGGGCTACTGATGCGCGACGTCGTCACCGACCGATGGGGTTCTGGGTGTGAGGAGTACCATATCATACTCACATCCTAGAGCCATGAACTCTAGGCTCCCAAACCAGACCACCGTGCCGAGACGTAGTGGACGTATGGGGTCAGCCATCCGAAACTTGTTGGGACGATCACGCTAACACGCAGAGGCCCCTACCTGGCGCGCCAACTGTCGGTGTTTTGAACTGGGGGGTCCTCAACCAACCAGTAAATGTGAACTACGTGCCCCTAATCCTAGATGATGCAAAGAGACACAAGGTTTATACTGGTTCAGGCAATCGGTGCCCTACGTCCAGTCTAGGAGATCGATCTTGTATTCTTTGCACCGAAGTGCTTGTAGTAGGGGGTTACAAGCTGGGTGAGAGAGGGAGCTAGTCCCAGGTCTCGGCATGGGGTGGTGCGGGCTGCTTGAGTCGTTGCTCTCAGGCAGCGTGGGAGCGTGCGTGAATTGAGTGAGTGTGCGTTTTTGCGGCGTGAGGGCGGCGTGGTCTCGATCCATAGAAACGGCCCTGGCTGCTTCCTTTTATAGCCACAAGGAGGGAGCCAGGAGTACATGAGAGAGCTACACGTGGAGCCTTAGCGAGGAAGGAAGATCCAACCTTCGTGGGCTATTCCTCATGGCAAAGACACCACGGTGTTGGGAATGGCAATTGGTACTTGATCACTGGTGCATCATGCCGGCCATGCCTGAGGCTGTTGAAGTCGTAGGGGTCCTCGTTGACGTTTAGTCAGTATGGCCTCCTCTATAGGTGACATGCCGTGCCTTGTGAATTTTTGACTTGGTGGTTCGCCGAGGCCTGACAGGTGTTTGTGGCCGACCGCCGCCGAGGCCTGATTTGCCGAGGCACGGGAGGTGACCTGGTAGTGCGATCTGGCGGTCTCGGTGGTCGGCGTCGTACCGGTTTAGGTGGAAAAATGCAGGGCGTGTGTCCGCAAAGCACGGTAGTCCCAGCACCATCAGTGGGGAATGGTAAAAAAGGAGATTTGACCGGCCGTCCCCATCGCCCCTGTTGTTATGCCCTCGCCAATCGTGGGCGACGTAAAGCGCAACCAGGGTACTTACACGGATGGGACGGCCCGCCAGAAAAAGCGATTGAGGCGGAGACGACGAGGATGCGGGATGAGCCCGGCCTCGGCCGAGGCAGAGAAGGAATAGTACGTCTGAGACCCTGCCGGGGGGTCTCGGACGAGGCGTAGAACGAGCAGTTGGGCTCTCCTGCGGTTTTCGAGACTACAAGGACATGGACTTGACCTTCCATGCTGCTTTGTCCTTGGCACAGGGGTTAGGTAGCACAGTGATGAGCACAGTGGCAGGTAACCCCTGTTGCGCCCGGTCCCTGTCCCGTCGGTCGTTCGCCCGTCCAGCATCAGCACTGAAGTCTGGTGACGTTCTGAGGAGTAGTTGGGCGCATTAATCTAGACGTGACGTTTCATCAGAGGAGTTTGGTCGGGATGGAGGTTGCGAGTATGTTTGCCGAGCCCGGCCTCGAGCGAATCGGAAAATTGGCATCCCATCCGAGGCCTTTCGGGGCGAGGCCTCGGCGAGAGGGTCTCGGCGAGAGGGCCTCGGCGGGGCGCTTTTGGCCTTTCGTATGAGGCCTCGGCGCAAGGCCTTGGGTGAATCGGAGAATTCTGCAAAGACCTGGCAGTAGTCTTTTGGCTTTGATTTTTGCAAGGTTTAAGCAACATTTTTGGTTCTTGCTTAGGGTACCCCTTCTTGTGGTATCCGACAGTACGTATTTCATTAAGAGAAAGTAGATTTTTTTTTGTTACAACTACAACCCACTGAAGGCAATGAGAATTACCATCAGTTGCCCACGCGTTGAAATAGCATTTTGCGATATTACAAACCAGTTGGCCGCGCATTGAATCTCTGGCCATTATTTTTAAGATCTGACTATCATTGAGAGGTAGAGGAGGCAATTGAGATTTCATTTTAAAATTTCTGGTGTGAGTTACCTCTAGCCGCTATTTTTAGATCTGAGTATAATGAGAGGTAGAGAAGGCATTAGAGATTCTATTTTAGAGGTGATGTGAATTAGGTGTGACGGCGACAAAAAATCTTAAGTGGATCTTTTTTTAGTTTTTCAGGAGCAAGTTATTCAAAACTGTTATTGATGGATTGTTTTTCGCTTGCTAATATTTATTGAAACAAGCTTGCTAGCACCCGGACATCCATGCCTATAGTCATATTCCTGTGTTGTTTCGCGCGCCCATGCAGGGCCCGTGCCGCCCCGAGCGTCACCCACATCGAGAAGAGGGGGAGAGGGCGACGTATGCCAAGCGGCGCTGGGAGGAGGAGGAGGAGACACCGAGGCGAGGCAGCAGAAGGCGAGGAGGGAGATGCAACACCCTATTTACTTTTGAAACATTCAGACGCAACACTTATAACATACGTTTGAAGGCAGATGAAACACTTGAAACATGCATCTGAAAAACTTGCAAAAACACCTGAAAAACACTTAAACCCATTGCAAAATCATACGCAACATCCAGATAAAACACTTGCAACATATATGTGAAACATATGCAACATCCAAAATAAACATACTAATAACATACGTCTAGAAACCAGATGAAACAGTGAGAACAGAAGCCTGCAATATACGTGTACAACCATTGTAACATATGCAACATCCCGATCTACTTTTGCAACATTCACATGAAACACTTGCAACATACATATGAAACATATGAAACACTTAAAACATGTGCTTCTTCCTATCGTAGTATCTTCGGCCGATCGCAAGAGACGATGTCTTAGCCGGTGACGACCTTCTCCTGGTGGCGCTGGGGTGGCGGCGGTGCGGTCCACGCCGTGGCTGCATCGGGCGAGCGCTGAGTGGGGTGCGGCGCCACGGATGGCTGCAACAGCGAGCTGGAGTAGGGAAGCGCAGCGAAGGATGGCCGCGGTAGCATGGCAGACTGGGGCAGCGCGCAGAATGGGGGCGCGCGCGACGAGATGGCCACGGCGGCGATGCAGAGTGGGGCGAGCGGATGGCCGCACAACAATAAAGCATGCAACGGGCAAGCGAGTCGGGAGATATTTTTGAGATAGGGATGGGTGAGACGTATAGGGAGGCAGGTTTGTTGGGCTGGTACGGTAGCGCAGGCCCAAGAAGGCGGCATCCGGTCGGACGGACACCTGCCCCTGAGCATTACCGTTACATTGAAAAGTTTGCAAAAGCAAATTTTTAGATTATTTTTTATACTGTTCGAAATGCTCTAAGGTGGTTCCCGGACCATCATATGTGGCCATTTTTTTATGTTTCATAGAATTGGTGGTTCAATTTTAACCATGACTTTTTTTATTAAACATAGATATAATATTTAATAAAGTTTGTGATTATGAAAGGGTTACTCGAGGTAAATATAACCATACCCTTTTGTGTATTCGAGAAAATGTTGTCGGTCCTTCTATCGGTGTCCAAATTTGAAAATTTTCACCAAATTATAGTCAATGTGTCATATATATGTGACCATAGAGGTATAAGTTCGATGAAATACAAGGTCTGATTGCACAATAGAGTATGCCCCGATGAACGAAGATCGGTCGGGTTCGCATTCTGTAGACAATCAAGAAAAAAGGCTGGGCTCCTGTTTAGAAAGGAACTCTACCTTCCATTTTTTAACCGACGGTTCTGACGGTATGAAAACCATCAATTGCGAGCCATGGTCCTTGTATTAAGGCGGAGATTAATTAACGTAATTGCTGCCATAACAGGCGCCTATCTGTAGACAGATTGGATCGATAAAACTTAAAAAAAATACTAGAGCCGCGGTACACGAAGGCCAGTTCGGTGCAGGCACAGGTGACAGATGTGCTCTACTCCTCTGCCGCTGCAGGCTTATACCATGGCGCCCTGAGCGGCCTGGCAGGGCGACGCTGAGGGTGGCGGAGGCAGTTGCAGAGGCGGCGGAAGAAGTCGACGACGGGCTGGATGCGCGACAGGAGCACGATCACCGGGCCCAGCACGCCCCCGGTCACCGTCACGATCGCCATTGGCTCCATGGCCCTTGCCCTATCTGATCCGATCTCCCTGCAAAGATGGAAGAATGAAAACCTTCACCACAGGCAGTTGCGCGATTAAGCTTCTGATGACACTCTCTTGGCAGACCGAGAGCGGCACAGGAGGCGCAGATTTATGCAAGAGGTTCGCGGCCTGGTGTTAGAGACGTTCCACAGTAACTGCGGGGCTGCCTCCACGCCGGTCGAAACGCCTATTTTTGGGAGCGAGCGGTTAAGGATGCATGGTTGAGGAACCAACGCCTGGAGATTGTTATTTTGTTGCACTAGTTATCACTACAGCTACAGACGTTCAGTTACTTAGAGTTAAAAAGCATCATTTCGGTTACCCAAAGGGTGCATCAATTTTATTAAGAAGAGAGCGGTTAAGGATGCATGGTTGAGGAACCAACACCGGGTGATTGTTATTTTGTTGCACTAGTTTTTTTTTGTGACTTATTTTGTTGAGGAGGGTTCTTGTGCAGGAAACATACTCAAATCCGGAGGAAAATCTTGTGCTCTTCTTTCTTGGGCATGAAACAACATTAAAATACCTTTGTGGCGTATGAATCTCTGTACTAAGCACCAATGACAAATATAACAAAAAAAAATTCAAATACTAACAACCATTCATACTTTGCGCAAAAAAAGAAGAAGAAAAAACTCATAATCTGATAATCAGAACAGAAAGGCTATAACACACTTGCATCTTTTGGGAGCTGGGCACACCCGATTTTTTTTCTATGCCCCTGATGTGTAGGGCCCACACCCGATTCGCCCGACACAGACGCGCCCTCCCTGACTCCAGCGGCGGCGGCAAGGTAGGTGGTTCCTCCCCCTCCTCTCCTCCCCCACCACCTCCTCCTCCTCTTGGGCGCGACGGCTAGGGTTCCGGCGATCCCCTTCTTCTCCAACTCCGACTGGTATATAAGGGGCCGACCGGGGGAGGAAGGCAGGCCAGGCGGTGGGATGGTGTCCGGCAGTTTAGGGGCCCTGGCGGTGGTAGTAGTGGTCGGGCCAAATCGGGGCGGGGGAGTCGGCGACCGAGCTCGTCGGAGTTGGAGAAGATGGCGGCAGTGAGAGAGGGGGAGCGGAAGAAGGCGGCTGCCGCGGACCCTAGGGTTCGCCGGAGCTCCGACGCGCTAGAGCCGGCCCTAGCGCACCGAAGCTTCGGTGAACCCTAGCGCCCGCAGTGGGGGAGGACGTGGAGGATTTGGATCCTAGCCCGGTCGGCTGTACGCGGAGAAAGCGGACGACGGGGAGGGGGAGCTGGTGTTCCATGTTCGTGCTTATTACGGAGGAGTGCACGGAGTCTTCGCCGAATCCCAGGCCAAGAGGAGACTGGTAATTCTAATCACCCCTTCGTCATCCGTCTTTGATTGTCTCTGTGCAATGCTTTAGTTCTTTCTGTCCGCCAATGCTCCACCACGGGCGTCCGTTCCGCGTCGATCAGTCCGGACGTGGCTAGCTGAGCTGCGGACCGGCCCACAGGCCTGCTCTCCTCATCGGCATACACGGTTTCTCCACAAAAAAATAAATAAAAGAGAGCGACATCTTATCTTCCCCATTCGCATCGCCTCCACCGCACTGCCCGCCCTTCGGTCGCGTACACACGAGCTCGGCTAGCGCCCGCATCCGTACGAGCGCCGCCGCCGTCCGCATACGCACGAGCTCCACCGGCAGCGCTGCGCCGCCTACCCGTGGTGAGGGAGACCGCTGCCGCCTCCACCACGGGGACCGGACGCCTGGTCGATGGCCAGGAAGACCTCTGCCTCCGCCTGCTAGCTCACTGCGGCCGGGTGTGGAGCTCGTCCGCGTGCAGCTCACGGTAGCCCGGGTGGAGCCCGCCCACACACATCTCACGCTCATCTAACCAGTTCGCTGTGGCTAGGGCGGAACTCACCCGTGTGTAGCCCACAACAGCCAGTATAGAACTCCACAAGTCGACGAGGATCCATTCTCCCAAGCAACAAGGAAATGTTGCACTGAAACTGCATGTTCCAACCGTCTATTTTAAATATTTCAAATGTTTCAGAGGTATGTTGCAAGTGTTTTATATCGATGTTGCAAAAGTACATCGGGATGTTGTACATGTTGCAATGGTGTTTTCAATTGTATGTCCCAAATGTTTCATCTATTTCAGACGTATGTTGCAAGTATTTCAACTATATGTTGCAAAAGTAGATTTCGATGTTGCATATACGTGCATGTTGCAAGTGCATGTTGCAAGTGTTTCAGGTGTTTCATACGTATGTTGCAAGTATTTTATTTGGATGTTGCATATGTTTTGCAATGGCTACAAACATGTTTTCCTGGTGTTTTAGACGTATGTTGCAAGCGTTTCAATTGTTTTAAAAATATGTTGCAACTATTGCACCTAGATGTTGCAAAAGTAGATCTTGTTATTCCACATGTTGCAGTGGGACCCATCTGAACAGCCACCTGCTGCAGCTGGTGGGCCCGCTTGCATGCGCGTGGATGTGGAGGGGGCGCCACGGCGCGGGCACGGGACACGGATCGCGCGTGGGGGCCACGGTGTGGGCACATGACATGAAGCGGCGAGGGCCACGGTGCGGGGGCGGGACACAATGCGGCCGCGGGACACGGAGGGGCGTGGGCCCTACGTGAAGCAGGCGCGAGCGTCCGGACGCTAACCCCGTCGATGTTCCGCTTTATGTCTCTTCGTACTTACTAACTCAAATGGGTTGATTTTCTTGGTGTCGCCATGCAACCGTGTCGATCAACAGCTAAACAGCAGAAGAGCTGAAGAAGGGCCGGAAGTGATCTTTCTGGGCCACCAGACTTCAGACAGTCTGGCCAGAGGTCTTGAGGCTTGAGCTCAGGAAGAGAACCAAGAACCTGTAACACATAGGCATCGCTTTGCCAGGAGTTCGTATTTTCATAATGTTTTTTCTTCCTTTACAGTTTATTAGGTAGCGTGTCCGTGCGTTGCTACAGGACAATTAAATTTTTATACTAAAAACACACGGATCGCATGATAAGATAACAATACTGTTAAATTAAATACCGACGTTAAAGTGATATCTCCTACAACTAAAAAGAACAAAACTTGGATATTTTTTGGTACGACATTTGTTTTGGGTCTTCCGTCTGCCTCCTCCTACGATACGGACGCTCCTCCCCGCGAATCGGTGCGCCGACATGTGGGCCCTGACGTGCGCGCAACTCCCCGCTCCCCATCCCAGCGCCGTCCGAATCTCCCCTGCCTCCTCTCGGCCTTGCGACGCCGTCGGCGCCACCAGTCCGACGCTCCGCCTCCCTCGACGTTGCGACGCCGCCGGGCGTCACTGGGCCGACGCTACGCCTCTCCCAGCGCCGTGCGCTCCACCCTTCCCTCTTCTCTTCACTGCCGGCCAGACGCTGTCACGCTGCCCGCATCGTCCTATCCCAAGGAGGCGGAGGGCGCGACGAGGCCGGGGACGTGGAGGGCGACGACCAGCAGCGGCCCCTTCCTCCCTGGGCGCGACTTCCTCAACGGCGCCCCCACCCGGCCTCCGCCCATGGCGTGAGGTGGTGGTTTTTTCGCGAAGTATACCCCCACCCGTACCCACCGTTCGCGCGCTGCCACTTCCGCGCGTCGCCCCCTCTGCGCTAACGCCGGTTTCTTCCCCGCGTGTCGCCCCTCCACGCTGGTGGCCTCCGCCCGGCGAGGCAGCTTTCGGCGCGTGAGGCTTGGCGGCGCTGCCCCTCCCGGATGCGGCAATCACGGGTCAGATTTATTAATGATTTCTTGTTTCTTCATGGACTTGTAGGATTCTGAATGGAACCCCTTTTTGAACTCTGCAGTTTCGAAGATGACCTTATTGTTGCTGTTGGAAAAGGAGAGCCTGCAGTAGTGATGTTCGAGTACGGATTTAGGTAATTCTTCATGTTGCTATTACAATCACGGGTCAGATTTATTGTGTGAATTCTTCATGAGTTATCTATATCCATAGAAAAGTTTTGTCCATAGATCAATATGCATCATATTATAAAAATATTGACCCCATGGATCCTTTCAAGACTTGGAAAGTTTGGCAAGCAGACAATTACATGTCTGCAAAAGGGCACCCATCATATGATGTTTATTCAGAGCGAGTTAATGGAGTGTTTGTTGTCAGTGATCCTATTGACCGGGGAAGAGATCTACATGTACTTCTTTCATGTATGTGCTTCACTAATAGAAAGCCTTCTTGGGCTTCATCTGTTTCATTTTCACATAATATCTTAATGTGTGATCTATAAACATCTTTGATGATCTTGAATACAAGGTAAGATGATATGTCAAGAATGGTGCTATGGGATGGGTGCTTTTAGGATAGCGTTGGAAAGCATCTTCAATCAGTATGCCATTTTTATATTTATGATATATTGTACTTCAAATTTATAAGCATGGATGTGCAGCCACCTTAATCATTTTCTGCTCGCTTAAACAGCTAAGTCCAAATAGGTTTCCAACTGTTTTACTGCTCTGCAGGCCATCGAGTCGAGGAGAAAATCTAAGAGGTTTCCTTCCCTATTGGTGCACTTTAACTTTGTCAAATTAGTCAAACATGTTCAAAAATTATATTTCTTTATCTGCACAAATCTTAGTAGATGACATGCAGGTTCTTTATCTGCATAAATCTTGGTAGATGGCATACAAGTTACGTAGAAGTTCATATTGTTTGATTTGTAATTGACAACCCGTATAAAGAATGATTTTTGCTACTTCATATTCCAGAGATATGACAAATCTGCCAAAAAAACTATTTATGCTGGTATACAACTGAGAAAGAGATGTAGCAGATTAATGTTTTTTTCATAGCCATGGACTTAGATTTTGGATAAAACTGACAACTCTTATACCCTGTATTCTGTTCAATAGATCAAAGCTACCACCCAAGAGGCTGAGAGAGCCACTTGGCAACCAGAAAACTAAGAAAAGACATCTATACAGAGGAGGAAAGAGGAGCGTTTGTCCTCAGACATGGGGTACTCATTATAAAAAAATGAGGTACCAAGATAACTCAACAAATAAATAAATAACAGGATTGACTTCGGCAGTTACTGAAGCTATTTTTCTTTGCTCTATTTTTTTTGGCAAAAAGACACCCTAGAGTATCTTATACCTGAATTATATTAAGGAAAACAATAACCAATACAGGAGAGACCATGCCAGAAAAGAAAATTAAATCAAATTTGACGAAGTCTTCACCTCCACCGCATCCATCGCAACCATGGCAGCACTGTGTTGTCCCCCATCACTGTCGATGATATCGCCGGTGCAAACGAAGAAAAATAGATAGCAAAATGTTCTAAGTTGGCACTTAGGTTTGCTTCTTACTGCCGTTTTTTAAGTTTCAGACATGCTTCCTATTAACTGTGTGCCTGTAATTAAAACTTCTATGTTCCTGTGATGCTAGCCACAAGGCGGGTGTATGCAAGAGATTTCTATGATGTGCTTGGAGTAAGCAAGGATGCTTCTGCACCGGATATAAAGAAGGCATATTATGCGGTACGGATTTTTTACATATAGTTGTTAGGATGTGCACCTCCTTTCAGAAACAAAGTTAGGATATTGCTTATTGATTGTACATCGTTAAACTTCTTGGTGATCATATTTGGATATTCCTTATTCCCCCAATGTTACTCTATCGATCTCAACCTTGCTGCCTTGAGGGCCTAAGTTCCCATCGTCTCCAGCTAATAGTTGCCCTTAGTTCGCTGTTGTTGTGGACTCCTATGGCTGCACCTACTGATGTCTCAGGCGACATGATCAGAAGGTTTAATTGAGTTAGTTTGAGAAGGTTTACTAGAGATAAGTTAGTTGGCTTGATTGAATTATCAAGCAGCTGACCTATATATATGAGGGTCGGCTCATCTGTGAGATCAAGGCACTAGATTAATCTATTCCGCCTTAAACTCTGTCAGAGCCTCCTCCACCTCTTGCCTAATTTTCTCTCTTAATCGAAGTTCATATCTTCTGTTGCTATCGTCTCTCTCCAGACCCAAGGCACTTTACTTATATCACTTCTCTTCCTCTCCTATTGCTTCTCTACCTCCTGTAATCTCTTCAAGTTCTCTTATGCTCGTGTTTGCTTCAATTGTTGTGCTGCTTTTTTGCTACTTCTTCTTATCTGTTCTTCTCTATTCTGCCCTTCTTACGCTCTTTGGTTTGCCTCTGACAGTATCTATTGTACTCTTCCGTCTATAGTCTGCTACTTAGTCTAATACTGATTAACCATGTATCATCGACGTGGGATACCGGTTATGGCGATACAGGATTTTGAAAAACAACACTATGGTAATGTAGAGAAAGTATTGGATATAAGTGCGGTTGTGTTAGTGAAGTATTGGCGATGCATGAATGATTAACCTCTCTATTGAGCAACTGTCACAAGACCTATCTGACTACCTGTTCCATTCATGCTATTTTTTGCTCGTCTTATTTTGCCTGGGGAAGGGCGGGCCTGGTGCAAGCGGTAGAGTCTTATCGCCTATGACCGGAAGGTCCCGGGTTCGAGTCGCGGTATCCTCACATTGCACAGGCGAGGGTAAGGCTTGTCACTAACACAATTCCCTAAACCCCGCACAGAGCGGGAGCTCTCTGCACTGGGTACGCCCTTTTTATTATACATCGGAGACTACCTACTATAGATAATTAAATGCTTCTGTATTAAAAAAAGAGACCGCGACTCGAACCCGGGAACTTCCGATCACAGGCGGTAAGACTCTACCATTTGCACCAGGCCCGCCCTTCGTGCTTCTGTATCTCACTGGTCCAATTTTTTTTGGATTCCATATGATATGCTAATTGTTGAGATACCAGGATATATGGCTAATAAAGGAACAAAAAATCCATCCATGCTTTAACATGATAACCAATATGTGCGCCTTATGATTCAGGTGTGTTGACCTCCATGCACATCTCATATGTATTTTCAGAATTGTTAACCGTTTTCTTTATAATTTGCAATTGGGAGAGCATCATAAATATGCTTTTCGAGGCAGACCAAAGCTTTACTTAAATGATACATGATCCTTGCTGGCAACCGAGGGAGGGCTGGGAACTTTCAAAAGTGGGCTGAAAGGACTATAGCAAGTACTTGAATTCATTATGGGCCAGTTTGGTTGCCGAATTTTTTGGCAAAATGACACGGTAGCGTTTCCGTTGTTATTTGGCAATTAATGTCCAATCATAGTCTAATTAGGTTTAAAAGATTCGTCTCGTGGATTTCGTCTAAACTGTGTAATTAGTTTTATTTTTTATTTATATTTAATGCTTCATGCATGCGTCCAAAGATTTGATGTAATGGAGAATCTTGAAAATTTTAGCATTTTGGGAGGGAACTAAACAAGGCCTATGTTGGCTGGCATGATAGATGTGACTTGACGAAGGGAAAAAAACTATAGCAGTTCTTCCTAGAATTTTAGATTTCTTGCCTGTCATCCATTGCTATTTGGGGTGCAATCTTGCTGTTACTATTTCACATATGAACATAATAAGAATGAAAAACAAAGAGAAACTGGATACATGTGGTAATTTGTGTTTTCACATAAGAGTCTGAACTTCCTATTACTGACATACTAACTCAAGTGCAGAAAGGTCAAAAACTTGTAAATGAAAAGATGGAGAACCCACATGATGGAGAACACGGAGGAGGTGGAGAGAGGAGCCCAAGGTGCAGTTGTTGCGGCGTGAACATTGAAGCGATGCCGAATCAGAAGCCACAGTGGTACCAAGTCCGCTCCAAGGCGTAGGGATAGAACACACCTGTTTTCTCAATCATTCTTATACTTTTCCTGTGAAACATAATTTATTGAATGTGTGTATATAATCCTTTTGCCGTGAATAAATTTGTATGGTACATGTGTGTTATAAGGTGGACAAAACTTGAGAAGATAGTTTTCCTTGTGATATGGTTTGAAGTTTACCCCAAAAATTTTCCCCTGAAATGGCATTATTTACTCTACTTGTGCGTTTATTTCCATGTGTATTAACATTTGCTTCTATTTTTATTGTAATCCATTTATCTCAACAATGTTTGAGGTGAGGGCACGGTTATAGTTTTAGTAGCTTTGCGATATTGTCCGAAGCTATGAGATAATTGATGTCTTGTAATGATCCTTTTATTAATTTAGTTTTCTATCTATGTTTAATTGTTTATTCAGTCTATTTTATAGGCACGCCGGTAGATAATGGATGACAAAATTCAAGCATCCATAATTTATCTCTTTGACTTTGAGCATGAGTTTTGTTTTATTTTTAATTGATATATTGCCTTTTTGTTTTTACCGTAGCGTTAGCACGGGCATGCACGAAAAACGAAGATGTCTTTACACTGTAGAAATCTTTCAAGAAGATCTTGCATAGATTATTCTTGTATTGAATAATATATATATATACAATCACCTAAATATTCAAATTAAACTACAAAATTTTGAATTAGGATACGAGGTAAGACATGCAAATAGATATTTCAAAACTACCTATAGAGTCCAAAGAACTTAATAAATAAATTCTTCTGGAGGCTATGCAAATTCTCTCTAATCTTTTATTTGGTGTAGTTAGTGTTATCATAGTACCTGCATGTATTCATGGGAAATAAATCGTGGACAAAACATGGACACTTTTTGTGTGACATTCCAATATGGGTCCATCGTCCTGCCTCCGTGCGACCCGACGCGCGGCATGCAGCAATTGTACAAGGCTTCCTCTAAAGATCAGGCAACTCTTTCAACCCTAGAAATTATATCAATTGATTGCTGAAGAGAACGATGTAGGGTAGAGATGCCAATATCCTTGAGGCAAATCACATAAAGGATGAGAGTCCCTTTATGATATTGCTCACTAGAGACTCAAACTTATATCTGATCATGATAATATTGAATTGCTTTGCATCAGAAGCATCGGCAATGATAAACGGGGACATAGGTTTTAGTATGTATAGTGGAGGAAAACTCAACCTTGGCCTTCTCAGCAGCTTTTCTGAGCCTTTGCAGTGCTAACTTGTCCTTACTCAGATAGTAAGATGTGCACCATAAAATTATGCACCACTAAGAAAAGTGTCACCATTGGTTGCCTTGACCTAAAAAATATGTCGAAATTAAGAATTACAACAGCTAATTCAACATCTTGGAACAGACACTCAAGTAGATATCTTATTCTACAATATATGTCTGTGTGGAATAGTCCTAAAGCCATACATATTTATACGGTGAGTATAACATACTTTGTTTTAAAATTTTATGAGAGATTTTTTAAGACACGCAGTATTATCCATGTGACATGCACTAATATTTACATATATACTCTCGAACCTGTGTGTACAGGATTATATGGAGATACAGCGGAACTTATTCATGGATTTATTGGCGCATGAAAGAAATGGATATTGGAGAAATCTTTCTGCCGATATAAAATATTATCTTAGCCGTATTACGAAAAAGTCTATACAGGCCCTGTTCGCTCGGAGGAATTTGGAGGAATCTGGATGAATCTGGAGGAATTTGTGAGAGAGTGAACAGTGAAAACCAGCCACGCACGGTGAAATCCGGCTGGTGTTCACACCAGCTAAACTGCCCCATAGTAGAGTTTATGAGCCTGCTACGTCGCGCTATCCGTGAGTGTGTTAATTTCACGAACATGCCTGGAGCTCCCACCCCTTCGGTCAGCATCTTCTTCACGTCGGTTGGCAGCAACTGATTGGGGTACAAAACTTGCGGGAAGAGGTGGGGGCGGCGGTGGCAAACTTTGCCCTCGGAATCGTACATCATAAGAGTGTGTCCGGTCCACCGAAGCTTCAGCATATTTAACTTTATTCCTCTCATCCTTATTTCTATCCTCTCTACCTTTTTCAATGGCTTTGTCTGTAACTCTCTCTTGCATCCTTTCAATAGAACGTTCTGTCCTCTCCGACAATCTATCTGTTGATCTCTCAATGGCATCTTCCCCACGACGCCTTTCACCTCGATCTAATTTTTTCCTAGGATCTCTGTCGTATTTATCATCAGATTTCTCTTTCATTTTGCCTGCCCTACTTAAGTTTTGTTCCTCATTAGCAATCTTCTCATAATCCACTGAACGAAACTTATCTCCGCCACGTGAGTCCAAACTCTTTTCCTTGTCTACATGTTCACTCAAATCAGGTTCATTTGCTCCTTTCCTCCGTTTACATGATCTATCTTGCTCCTCAATCGGAGGTCTTTTTTGCTGTCTCACGGTAGAGTCAATCAGATCAGTAGACTCACCAGAAGGATTAGCTGCTCCATTATGTGTAACTGCATTTCTTTGAGAAGATGACGAAACCTTCCACGACACTGGATGCAAGTTACCATTGCTAATAGTGGTACTGGTTTCTTGGGCAGCATCAGCTGAATGAGACAATGCTTCTCTATCAACAGTAGAGACTTGTTGATTTACATTCGAGCTGGTAGATTTCCCAGCTTTTGCATCTTCCTTTGCAACATCATGCTTCATTACCTTCCCAGCATTGCCAGCGCGCTTTTGTGTTGCTCTTGTCTGTTGCGTAAAAGACAACAACAACAACAAAGCCTTTAAAAGACTGAAATAAATTCCAAAAGCTCATGTCCCGCACAACATTGCTCGCTGATATGCATCCAAGCATAATGATTAATGATATTTATCGATTATAAGACACCTGTAGGACAAGCTACGCCGACGAGGAATTCAATAATTAAATAATGAGTCAAGAAGCGCACCCCCCCATCTGTTTAGCCATAGCCAGGTGTTGCCTAAAACTATGAGAACCTAGACTCTTTCCATGCTATACATATTAAATTAGCTTTGTAATTAATTATATCAAACATCGAGTACAACCTGACAAAATCCAAATAGCACAAGACTTTGGAGGCAAACAGTGCCCATGAAAATATAGAGGTCAAAAGTAGGCACTAATAACCAAGCTTTCAAACAAATAATTGAAATCGTGACAAAAAAAATGGAGAGAAGAAATTACTATTCAATCAATTAATATAGTTTCACTAAATATAAATTGACATGGATTCATGCAGGCAGACTTTTAAAACTCAGTACTACTGAAAGAAAGACCACAGATTGAGCAGACCGAAATAATGATAAAGACGCATAGTCCAAGAGAAAACAGGCATATATTTGGTGATGGGAGTGTGTTGGCTAAGTGTTCTTGTGTTTTCTTTTCCCTTGAATTCAAGTAATAATGTATGATAACCATGCAAAATAACAAAATATAAGCTAAAGACATGAACTGACAGATACCTCAGATTCTGAAGTAGGTTTTGCAGAAACTTTAACCCCCTCATCAGATACAGGTTTCGGAGGTTCATCCACTGCACGTACAACCACTGAAGTTTTCCATTGCACAGAGCTCTTCTTTTGCTGAATGTCAGGCTTCATAGCACCCTCCGACCTTTCATGCCTATTCTCTATAGACTTTGCACGGGCATTTTGATGTTTTGCCATCGAGGGATCTGCTGACTGGTTTCCTCTAGGAGATCCAAAGATTAGTGATGCTCAAGCTAATGACAAAACTTAAACAAAAAACTTCCATTTACCAAGCACAGATCTTGCTGTTGCTGGCTTCAGATCAATGTGGCCCATGCCAAACTCTTCTTCGGATAGCCAAGAACTCTGCACAATAGAGAGCATTGCGCTTGTACATATTGTACACAAATAGATGCCTCCTACTGGAGAGGGGAAAACATAATTGGAATTATTGTAGAACTAACCTTGCGAGCAGCTAAAGCAGCAGCTACACCAGTGGCTAGTACTTTAAGATCTTCTCTGTCATCCCCTTTTAGTTTAGCCACCTGTTCAAAAAGGTTGGTGAGAAATATATCAGCAGCATAACATAAGGAATAAATGGTAAGGGACTCACCCGTTTCTCAAGATTGACACCACTTTTACGAATCACCGGAAAAACACTAGAAATCTTTGTAAGCACAATAAGGGCATTTCGAATTTCCATGTATTCTTTTGATTCCATGCATTGGTTAAGTGCTTTGGTGATTTTTAAATTCCACCTCCAATGAACCTTTAGAAAATAGAAAAATATAAATTAATAAATATGGTGAAAACCATTCAATACAGAGAACAGCGAATAACACAATCACATAAGTATCATATACTTCCTGATTTTTCAGATCAACATGACCAAACATATAGAGGGAATAGCAAGATACTAAGACATATACTAATATACTAATACTAAAGATTATATTAGTATATCATGGATTAGTACATAGAATTACTAAGACATATACTAATATACATAGAATTAATATCATGGATTAGTACAACAGAAGCTCCACTTAGAAAAAGTGGAGTTAAGCATGGCCAATTGTACATAGGGAAAATAGCAGCTACCAAAACGAACTAATTCCTCAGAAGAAGTCTATATAACCCCTTGAATTATCTTTGTTGGTCTACTTCGCCCCCTAACCTACAAAACAAGGTATTCTACCCCCTCACCTATCCAAAATCATGTAATCAAGCCCCTAGGGGTTTCAATTGGTGGTTTTGCCACTGTGGCTTTTATGGTAAACAGTGCTCATGAAAAGCTGAAAGTACGGGATTAGATCTGTAAAGCAAACAGGCTTCAACCATAGTGGTGCTGACATGTGGGCCTCGGTTGTGCCAGCGAGGCAAAACCACAGATCGGAACCACCTAGGGGTTGGTTTTGTAGGTTTAGGGGTGAAATAGACCAACAGCTATAGTTCAGGGAGTTATGTAGACTCTTTCCTAATTCCAATGTATAAGTTCCCCTTCTACTTCATACCTCACACATTCAGATTCAGCGAACTATCATTATTACTGGATTGAGTATGCACGATTACAAAGCCACTTTATAAAAATTATTGTGTTCGAAGCATATAGCAAAGGTCTGTCATGACCTTTTCTTCATTTATTACATGAGAAATGATATAATGTACAGGGAAAGAATTTCAAGCAACAGTAAATATAACTTTAAGAACGGATAAAACCTACCCGAACAAACTGACTATAGGATACACGCTGGCTGTTTGGGTATCTGAAGTACACTGCAAAACCTGGTTTGTTTGCACATTCACGCTCATAAACAGATTCATCACTCCGCAGCGTGTTGGAGGTAAACAGTTAAGAAGCAGTAAAACAATAACCGAGACTCCCATTCTTTACCATGAATACAGCAATGATAAATGTGTGGTAACAGTTGAGGGGGAAAATACCTTCCAATAGTAGGCCATCTTCAACTAATCATGAAAAAAAACTTCCAAACCTGCCAGCTTCAAATTCCGTGCAACAGCATATCATTGGTTGTAGGGTTTTACAGACGAGAACATCGATATGATTGGCTGTGTTAAAGAAAGGAGTCCCAAGGGAGTGTAGTGTTTGGACAAATGTAGCACAATACACTGCATCTTGCATACTAAAAACACATCGTGGGAATATGCAGCGCTGTAAGAACTCCATGTTGATTTTCATTGTATCTGGACTGGAGCTCAACCACTTATCCTTTTCACGGGCTAACCTTTGGACCACAGATGCAATGTGCTGCTGGTGCTTCTGAGATTTACTGTTCAGTTTGTCAAGTAAATCTTGGATTCTCTCCTTGTCCTTCTTACATCTTGAAATTGCAATGCTAGAATTATCTGAGTTGTCCTCCAATTGTTTGAGACTCTCATGCAGCTTCTTGATTTCTGTATCATAACGGTCTTTTGGAAAGTGAAGATCATAGAGTGTTAAGCCCAGAAAGTAGCATATAAATCTGGTGAAAGACTGTTCCAAGCTTTTGCTGGCAAAATTGACTGGACTGTGTTAAGAAGATCTGACCACCTGTAGCAAAACAGAATATTCATGTGAGTTGGTAACTTAAATTGCCACGGACTAATAGTCCGGTAATCATGCACTGCAGATCTTCAATAAACATGTATCGAAGTTAATTATCACTAAATCTGAAAGTTACGTAAATCCCAGCCAATTATTAAGCCAAAAAGAAGGCATGAGTATAATAATTCAACATTCAAGCATTTAAGAAATTGCTAGTTTCCACAAGCCATCAGGGATGATAAAGAGACCTCTCATCGTGGAAAAAAAATGAAAAGATATTTTGAATGGGAAAATATGAGGAAAAAATTTATGTATTTGTGCTTTGACATTTTGGAAGAAGTATATATTTCTTTCAAAACAATCCTTTATTTGCTACTCCCTCTATTCGAAACTATAGGTTTGTCGGGTATCAGTATTAGGGATACCCGAAGAAGGATCTGAGGACCGCGGACGACAACTCGCCTAGATAATCAAGGACGTATTTCAGTCTCGACCAACCCCGAAGGGACGGTTTCCGCCTCGCCAGACCCCTCGGGCACGGGCCCCGTGTCGCCCGACCCCAAGGGTACGGGAGCCCGTCTCGCCCGACCCCTTGGGCGCGAGCTCCGTCTCGTCCGGCAGGGTCCGTACCAACCCCAACCACTATGGGTCCAAGCGTGTGGGCCTGGGTCAAGCCTCTGACACTAGAAGGGGCGCGGGCACGCCTTGACGTGACCCGTGGCCACGACAAGCCATGCCCGGGGGTTCGCATCACCAACAGTGACGGGTGCGTGGGGCGCTGTGCTGCCTAATCCTCGTACGGCCACAGCAGCATGTCGGTTCACCACGTCGTCTGCCGGGATGGGATGGAACGCCACGACCAGCTGATGACGTCGAGGCATAGCACAAGTGGTGAACAGGAGCCCAACGTGGAGCCATCCCCGTCACCATCTACAGCGTTGGCGGGACCCGCATGAAGGAGAAGAAGGACACGGCGGTCCCAGAGGGCTTCTTCTCCTCGATTCTCTCCCTCTTCCTCTCTCTCTCTCTCCTCTTTTTCTGATGTAACCTGCATCTTCCCCTTCTTCTATAAAAGGGGGAACACAACGCAAGGACATAGGCACGAGCACACTGCTGAGCAGCTGAAAAAACTCTCAGCACTTTTCAATCCTTCCACCAAATACCTAGGATCCGCTCCCTCTCTCGCCCATCTGTAAACCCTACTACAGACAGTGTCGGTAACATGAGCACCAGCAGACTGGACGTAGGGACGTTTTGCCCGAACCAATATAATCCTTGTGTTCTCTGAGCACATCATCCGGGCCAGACGCACAAACTAGAAATTTACTAGCCGGTGATCCGGAACACCGACAAGATTGTTCTGACTTTTCTAGGTACATAGTTTTTACTATGTCTACTTATGATTTGGAATGGAGGGAGTATTTAACTTCTATATTTGTACTTCACCCATACCATGACAGAACACCGGTGTAAGACATCGTTTGAGAAGCCCAACAACAACAACAGAACCTTTTAGTCCCAAGCAAGTTGGGGTAGGCTAGAGTTGAAACCCAACATAAGCCCCTACTCACGGTTTAGGCACGTCAATATCTGCTTTGCATGCACTCCTATCCAAACAAAGATCTCTAGGTATATTCCAACCCATTAAATATCTTTTTATTGCCTCCCCCAATGTCAGCTTTGGTCTTCCTCTACCTCTCCTCACATTGATATCTTGACTTAGGACTCCACAATGCATTGGTGCCTCTGAAGGTCTCCTTTGGACATGGCTAAACCACCTCAACCGATGTTGGACAAGCTTTTCTTCAATTGGTGCTATCCCTAGACGATCACGTATATCATCATTCCGAATTCGGTCCATCCTTGTGTGACCACAAATCCAACGCAACATACGCATTTCCGTGACACTCAGTTGTTGGACAACAACAACATAGCCTTTCAGTCTCAAGCAAGTTATGGTAGGCTAGAGTTGAAACCCACCAAGAGCCCCAAGTCACGGTTCAGGCATTTCATTAGCTGCTTTCCAAGTACTCCTATTCAAACATAGATCTCTAGGTATATTCCAAGCTTTCAAATATCTTTTTATTGCCCCCCATGTCAATTTCGGTCTTCCTCTACCTCTCCTCATATTATTAGCTTGGTTTAGGACTCCACAATGCACTGGTGTCTCTGGAGGTCTCCTTTAGACATGGTTAAACCACCTCAACCGATGTTGGACAAGCTTTTCTTCAATTGGTGCTACCTCTAGGCGATCACATATATCATCGTTCCGAACTCGGTCCATTCTTGTGTGACCGCAAATCCATCGCAACATACACATTTCTGCAATACTTAGTTGTTGAACATATCGAATCTTTGTAGACCAACATTCTGCTCCATACAACATAGCCGGTCTAATCATTGTTCTATAGAACTTGCCTTTTAGCTTTTGTGGTACCCTCATCACAGAGAATGCTAGAAGTTTTGTCGCCACTTGATCCACCTGCTTTTGATTCTATGGCTAACGTCCTCATCAATATCTCCATCCCTCTGTAGCATCGATCCCAGATACCGAAATATATCCTTCTTAGACACTACTTGACCTTCCAAACTCACATCTCCCTCCTCCTTTACAACTCCACCAAAGTCGCATATCATGTATTCGGTTTTAGTTCTGCTCAATCTAAAATCTTCAAGGGTCTGCCGTCATAACTCTAGTTTCCTATTTACTCCCGCCTGGCTTTCGTCCACAAACACTACATCATCAGCGAACAACATACACCAAGGGATATCCCCTTGTATGTTCCTGATAACCTCATCCATTACTAAGGCAAAGAGATACGGGCTTAAGGCTGACCCTTGATGAAGTCCAATTTTAATCGGGAAGTAATCTGTGTTACCATCTTTTGTTCGAACACTAGTCACAACATTGTTGTACATATCCTTGATGAGGGTCACGTACTTTGATGGGACATTATGTTTATCTAAAGACCACCACATAACATTTCTTGGTATCTTGTTATAAGCCTTCTCCAAGTCCACGAAAACCAAGTGGAGGTCCTTCTTCTGCTCTCTAAACCGCTCCATAACCTATCAGAGAAGCATTGAAAAGGATGAAAGGGGGCAAAGCGATGAGCCCTGATGGTATCCCAATCAAGGTGTGGAGATGTATCGGTGATATAGCTATAGTATGGCCAACCAAGATGTTCAACAATATCTTTCGATCGAACAAGATGTCTGAGAAGTGGAGAAGAAGCATATTGGTACCAATCTACAAGAACAAGGGAGATATCCAAAGTTGTACTAATTATCGGGAAACTAAGTTGATGAGCCACACTATGAAGTTATGGGAGAGAGTCATCGAGCAGCGCCTGCGAGGAACGACGCAGAATAGGCCAACATTCTGCTCCATACAACGTAGCGGGTCTAATCGCCGTTTTATAAAACTTGCCTTTAAGCTTTTGTGGTACCCTCTTGTCATAGAGAATGTCAGATGCTTGGCACCACTTCATCCAACCTGCTTTGATCCTATGGCAAACGTCTGCATAAATATCTCCATCCTTCTGTAGCATCAATCCTAGATAACGGAAGGTATCTTTCTTAGGCACCACTTGACCTTCCAAACTCACATCTCCCTCCTCATGTGTACCGTTGCCAAAGTCGCATCTCATATATTCTATTTTAGTTCGACTTACTCTAAAACCTTTGGACTCAAGGGTCTGCCACCACAACTCTAGTTTCCTATTTACTCATGCCTGACTTTCATCAACTAGCACTACATCGCCTGCAAAAAGCATACACCAAGGGATATCCCCTTAAATGTCCTTTGTCACTTCGTCCATTACCAAGGCAAAGAGATACGGGCTCAAGGTTGACCCTTGATGAAGTCCTATTTTAATCGGAAAGTAATTTATGTTACCATCATTTATTCAGACACTAGTCACGGCATTGTTGTACATGTCTTTGATGAGAGTAACATACTTTGTTGGGACTTTATGTTTGTCCAATACCCACCACATAACATTTCTTGGTATTTTGTCATAGGGCTTCTCCAAGTCAATGAAAACCATGTATAGGTCCTTCTTCTGCTCCCTGAACCGCTCCATAACTTGTCTTATTAAGAAAATTGCTTCTATGGTTGACCTTCCGGGCATGAAACCGAATTGGTTCGTAGATACCCGTGTCGTTCCTCGCAGTCGATGCTCGATAACTCTCTCCCATAGTTTCATCGTGTGGCTCATCAACTTAATTCCTCTATAATTAGTGCAACTTTGGATGTCTCTCTTGTTCTCGTAGATTGGTACCAATATGTTTTTTCTCCATTCTTCAGACATCTTGTTCGATCGGTAGATATTGTCGAGCATCTTCGTTAGCCATAAATCTCCACACTTTACAGTTAAATCCAGGAACTATTAGACCTTTGTACCTCACACCAACTTTCAAAAAAGTTGCTACACTTTACAAATGTTGTGAATATTTAATAACAAAAGAAAAACTAATTGAGGGAAATTGCGAGACACAGTTTGAGCTATTAGCCAAAACGAAGGTTTAGCCTCAAAATCTAAATTTCGCGAACTAAACAAGGGCTCAGTATTCAATAAACATAGAATGGCAATTCCCCTACAATTTCGAGGGTAAAAATATGGAAACTGACAATATAACATTCATAATCCATGCAACAGAATAGATAATCGAAGTGAAGAAATAGAATCTGAAGCAGCATCGTACGGATTCGAATGGCTCAAGTTACTAAAATAAGAATACAAATTATAGGGTGTTCAGGGATTAAACAATACTGGACCAAATCATCTCCATCAAACCAAATCAAATGTAATGAGAAACATGCATACTCGTCAAAGACAGTCAAATTAATCATGGAACTATGGAAGACTTACATGATTGGTTCCTGAGACGAGTCAAGATGTAAGATAAGATCATCAGATGATACAGATTCTCCTTCCTCGTTATCATCAAGAGGCCAACAAGTGTCACCTCCATTATTGCTCTTAAAAAGCCGCATCACTGGGCGGTATATAAGGAAAGCAACCTGGATTTAAAGATAAAGACCACTATGTTACCCATAATGAAGAACAGTAATGAAACAAGTAGCACCACCAACACCCGCACACAAGGCAACAACAAAGGTGAGCAAAAGCGGTGGTAGAAACCGAAATTTACTACCTCTGGCTCAATGTGGTATTTATGGACCAGATCTTGCAAAGGAGGTATTAGTTGAGCATAGGCGGTTGGAGTTACAGCGCTTGAAAGAAACTCAACATACTGAAGAAGTATTCCATGGCATCTATCAAACTGCTCACTGACCATTTTGATATATGTGGCATCAGCATTTATTATGATCCTGAGAACAGAAACAGTTTTATCAAGATTTGAAATTGGTGCATAAAGCTAAAATTAAATATGACAGGATCTATTGCCAACACATGAATTTTCTGTAGGGAGGGCATAGGCCAGACTAAGGGCCAATTTGCCAGATAAAAATATAATTTAACAAATAATCTCAGACGATGCTTGACCCCTACCCTACTCCAGTGCTTATTTCCTTTGGTGGTAAATCATTAGTAATCACAACATTCATATTTCTGCATCGCCATTTGCATGGTCTGGAACAAACACATGAAACAAAGACAAGATGCCTGATAGTGGCTCCACTAAATTAATCAAAAATCTTACTTGGACCGATGCTGAGCAAGCAGCAGTAACATAGGAAGTACAAGTTTGGGCTCTTCTTTTGGAAGCAACGAATCCCTTAGCCTATTTGTGGACTTACTCAACACCTGCAAAAGAATTACATTTTCTGGTAAGGAAATAGTTTGATCTTAATACGCTGCTGAGATAGATGAATGTCCCCTCAACCTTATAGTTTCTTGTTGCTCCAAACAGTGAAGCTTGCTGCCGCAAAGTCTCACTTCCTGCCATAGCATCGACCTGTTCCTCTGTCATGTTCTCGGTGTACTGCACATTCGCCATTTGCTGAATGAGCTCCTGCATGGCTAATTATGTTAGGCATCAGACTCATACGATTTGAAGGCAGAAAGAAAGCTTAAAAAGAGCAGCCAAGAGACCTATAGGACAACAAGTTCAATGCCCATGCCCTTCTTCAGTTGATTAACAAGATACTGCAAAAGGCTTTTCAGTTCCACAGCATTATGCTTCTTGCACCTGTAAAAATGAATTGAATCAAAACAGAGTCAGCAGCAGAACATACTTTATCATTAATGATTGGGAGCATGGCAATTAAAAATCTGAAAACTGAATACGAGAACCCTTAATAAATGTAATTGCAAAGAGTAATCAAGTGCAACAAAGTAATATAAATGTAGGATACCAGAATGTAATATCTGAATACGTGCTCTGTTTTATGTTTCTGCAGCTCGACGGGGCAGCCTTTGGTTACGTCCGGTCGACGCTGCCGTTGTTTGTTTGGATGTTCTCTTTTTCCTCTTATGAAATACGTGCTACAGTGCACGTTCGAGAAAAAAATAACAGTTTCGGAGTCAAAAACGTACATACAGGTGCCCCCAAAAGGATGCAAGACATTGAAGCCAATCTGAGAGATTAAGTCCATCATCTTTAAGTTTCGCACGACCACCTTGTACCAAGCGTTCAAGGACAATATATTGCAAGATGTCATAATCCAGCTGTAAATGAAGTATACGATTAAACAATGCTCTAAATAAAACAGATGACAATCCAAAGGCATGTCAAAATAATTGTAGCTGATACAGTAAAAGGGGTAGTGCTAGATTCATAAATCATGCAATAATTACAATTGAACATAAATATGCACAATACATAGATAAAATAATAGTTACTACCTGAGTCAAGTACTTAAAAGCATCCACAACTGGTGTAATCATATCCCTGTATGCTTCAACCTGCAAATTTTGGCGTGCAACTGTAAATAAATCTGAAAAATACACAAGAATTTAAGGCATAGCATAGTGCAAACAACACAAGGTATGACTATAAATTTTGTTCCAGGATCACTGAATTGTAAGTATTGATTTTAACACTAAAGAAAAAGTGTGATAATAAATATTACTCCCTCCAGTCCGGTCTCTTAGGTGTGAGAAGTAGAAAAACCTATACCAAGACAGAGTGTCGATCGTTAAGTATACCAAGACAGTGTCGATCGTTGCGCTAGTAACTCCCCTGACTGCAACAGCGCTCATGGGCTGACGTCTCGCCGCATAAATGGCTAGAGTTCTGTGTTTTGCATGGATGCATGCACGGCATACCAACTAGCACAGGAAGGACCACATGCAACGAGCAAAGGAATATGAACAACGCCCTAACTACAGCATGCAAACAACCGCTTAGGCTTCTGTGAGATTGATTAGGGTAGCACAGGAAGGACCACATGCAACGAGCAAAGGAATATGAACAACGCCCTAACTACAGCATGCAAACAACCGCTTAGGCTTCTGTGAGATTGATTTTGGCATTTTTTGTATAAAATATTTATAAAATATAGTCAATATATACTTTTATGAAACTACATTTCGAGATGAATCTACTTACATCACTTTCATATTTTCAAACTCAACCCAAAAGAAGTTATTTGTAGTCAAAGTTTAAAATGTTTGACTTAAGACAACCTTAAAACGACTTGCTTTAGAGAACTCTAAGCTATTTAATATTTTGCATATAGCTAGGATCAACTATAAATAAATTTATACATATCATTATGTGGCTATTTGATAGAAAATGTATCAAGGATAAATAAGAGCAACATAATTACAATATTTTTTAAAAGCATCAATATATAATTATATTACATATAGTTGCAACGCCTTTTGTCTAATTTCTTTTGTTTTCATAGTGTTGCCATATACTTTGCCGACCCTATACTTTGCACAAATCCTATCCAACTTGGTTCCATCTATCAGTTTCAGGCCGACTCAGATAGCCTGAACTTGCAAGGAGACTACCCTGCGAGTAACAACTTGTTGAATAAACCGGTGGTGAGAACTGAGAAATTAACCAAAAAAAAAAGTTTGGTTGGTTTCATCATATAGCATATATTGTATTTTAGATGCATTCTTCACTGAAAAAATCAGCATGTATTTTAGATGCTTGAATGGACACGAAGCTCAAAGTATCAGCCACAATGAGAGGCAAATCATGAAAGCAACACCCACAAGCAATCACATCAACACCTGGTTGACCAGGGATTCCATGCTGCAAGGGCCAAAGGCGGAGGATGGCCGGCGAGGACGACCTGTGCTTCAACATCTCGCCGGATCCAAACGGCAGGGCAGTATGCAGCAGTAGCTCTTGGAGGGCATCTGCGTCCGATGACTACGGCTGTCGAGCAGCTTCCACGACGAATGGGTCCTGCGGCCTTGCCATTCCTCGTATCGCAGCCGGTGGCAACAAGCGTAGTGGCGCTTGGCTTGACGCGGCAAGGAGCAACGCGGCCGGCATGAGGAGGAGCGGAGCACCATCCCGCGCGCAAACCACAATCCGCGAGTGCCCCCACACGGGATCTGAACGCGGCGTCGACTCGAGAAGACGCGGTCGTACAACGCAGCTCTCCCCGTCGATTGGGCCTCGGAGCACGGGCCTTCGGCGTCGTCTCGTGAGGCGACGGGGAGTCCGTCTCCAAGTGGAACAGAGGAGGTTTTCGCAAAATTACCAACATGGAGACAGGAAAGGGACGACCGTTGCACGTGCCCTTAATACTGCGCCCTTTGGACTCTTCAGTACCCATGTACACTGCATAAACATGACTTTTTTTTCCAAAACCCACTAATGCCTAAGAAACTGGTCTGGAGAGAGGTGAATCTAGAGATCCTCTGACGAACTGTGTCACTGCACCTCAATTACCCTAACCAAAAATGATTAATTTGCAGTGCCCACAAGTGCAAGGTTAGTTGAAAATTAGGGGTAACAGTAGCTAATTTCCTTGTCAGTTTTGTCTGGATTCCATGTATTAGAGATACGTTTCCAAAAGTCAGATATTATCTCCTTGGGATCATGTTCAGTCATCCCAACAAAAGAGATAACCATGCTCCCAAATGCAGTCCATAACGAATTACAAATAGTACAACAACAAAGCCTTTAAGTCCCAAACAAGTTAGGTAGGCTAGAGTTGAAACCCAGTAGAAGCAATCAAGGTTCAAGCACGTGAATTACAAATAGTAAATGTCTTAAAATCTCTTAACTTTTTGTTCCATTCATACCAGCTCCAATACCATACCCTTCTCGCCATATCTTGTTTTTCTCAGGACAATAATCATCCCATTGTCAGTTGGACCAATTCTAAAGGTGAGTTCACATTAAATAGGTAAGCATACTTCCATAACGTTTATTAGCCAGATGTACAAACAGCTTAACGTAACTAACCTTTTGCGTGTGTGTGTGTCAGGGAGGGGGGTGGGGTCTAGTTATGCAGGGCACCATTGAAGCATGGTAGCAATAGCCAGCTATACCGCTATGGTATATCAAATAGCATGGCAACAGGAAAGAACATCATGGCTACTGGCGGATGCCATGCATGGCAAGATGATATTGAACTATGGAGTTAGATGATTAATTTGAAAAGGCTAAACAGCACTCATTCGAAAAAACATCAGTGGCTGGGAAATAGGCATGGTGGTTCAGGTTTCCCAAGGAAATACGATGTTTGGAACTTTGGATATGCAGCACATGATATTTTCTAGCTGAAATCGAATAATTACCAACCCTAAAAAACAGTGAATACATCACACAACTTCTGTTCCACATACCTGTTGGACAATTGTCCGAAGCACGGTCATAGGATTCGCATGGGCAAGTTTTCCTTAGCCAACCGTTTTAGGAGCCTTCTGGTGTCCAGCTGATTAAAAAAACGATGTGTGCGAATTCAAAACTTATCATGAAGTGATAGATTAAAAAAACGTTAAACAGAATAGAAAGGTAACCTTTGCAGTTTGCCTTGCAGCAAGGACAATTGGGTTTTGTTCGGTCTCCTTCTCCCATTCACCATATAGACGATAGCGGGTCTGGAGACTAAGGATAGTCAAGGTACTAAATTGCTAAAAACATGAATAGAGTACTACAAAATTATATAATATAAACCTCATATGGAAGAAGGGAAAGAACCCCCCATATCTCCATATCAACAGCAGGATTAGCAGGGATAAGCTGCAACGAAGGAAACAAGCACGACCCAAGTGCTTCCTCGATTCGAGATTCTGGTAAAACTACATTTGCTGCACGGGTTGACTCTTTTGATGAGTGGTAGTACGCTTTTAATACTCTGCACACCTAAAAAGTAAACATGGACGATGGATCACTAAGTACATGAAGTTCAACATTTTCACTAGTAGAGTATTCATGTGAAACTGGATACATGCAAATTCCAAGCAAAGAAACATTTTGCACTGCAACTGCAAGGCTGCAAAACTTGGTTGTTGATTTGTTATAACTACTAGGCAACAACAGTGACATTTTGGTTTATTGCAACGAATGGAGGAAATTCTAGTCATGACTATGACTAGATGCAATGCAAAGGCTAGTGTGGTGTAGCATCTGTACGCTGAACTAAGCCATCAGTTTGGCAGCGGCAAGTATGCATGATAGCGAGCAGTGGTAGAAGATTTAAGTCACCTTTTGAAGTAATTGAGTATCACGATGAAGATATGGTCCACAAGCGGCGAGCATTTGAAAAAACTCCTTTGGTAGATCAAATGAATTTACAGACACAGCAGATGTGCCTGTCTTGTCAGCATCATTTCTAGGAGGCAAGTAATAGTACAGGTGACAAACTATATGATAGGCTGAAGACATTGTCTTTTCAATCATTCTGCGTAAAGGAAAAAGAATAAAGGCGAATATAAGTTAAACTGCATAAACCTAAGAAATATAATCATTGGATCAAAAGAAATACAACAAACCTAAATAATCCATAACAGATTTCAATGTGCTCAACAGGATTTAGGTGCACCAGGCGCTCAAAGAGTAGTTGCACATGATACCTAGGAAAGAACAGAGGGAATCAATCAGTAATATTTACAACAATAAAGCATTTTTGTCCCAACCAAGTCAGTCTAGACTAAAAAGTGCTTTTAAATATCTTATTATCTTCACAATATGATTATACAACTATTATGTTTACAAAATGCGCAAAAAATACTGGTGCATCTCCTACAGAAATGTGTTTGCCACCTATGAATAAAACAATAAAAATACATTTAAATTTATTTAATTTAATTATAGATCAAGTAAAACCGTTGGTAAAGGAGGAGGGTTGTGATAGGCGTGGCGAGCCAACGTTAAATCTAGCCATTCTAAGGAGATGAAACCCGAAAGAAAACCGTTGGGGCGTAACCCTCTTAGCGACGCGCTATATCGGAACCCGGATATGGTGTTAAATAGGCAAGGGTCGGGTCGGCACCAGCTTGGTGACGCGCCGTGTCGTGATCTGGGCATGGTGTCAAGTGAGCAAGGATCGGGTCGTCGCTTCCTTAGTGGCGCGCTACATCGGCGCCCGGGTGTAGTGAAAAATAAGCAAAGGTCTTCACATCTGAGTCGACGGGTGCGAAGGATAAGGAAGCTAGTCGAACCAACTAGGATCTGTTTAGATAGTTGAAATGTAGGGTCGCTTACAGGTAAGTTAAGAGAATTAGTTGATACCGCGACTAGGAGACGTGTAAATATATTATGCGTTCAAGAGACTAAATGAAAGAGTCAGAAGGCGAAGGAGGTGGATAATACAGGTTTCAAGCTTTGGTACACAGAGACAACCGCGAATAGAAATGGAGTAGGAGTTTTGATTGATAAGAGCCTCAAGAATGGTGTGGTGGGAGCCAGAAGGCAAGGAGATGAGATTATCTTAGTCAAGCTTGTCGTTGATGATATGATCTTGAACGTAATTAGTGCGTATGCCCCCTAAGTAGGCCTCGACGAGAGTGCTAAGAGACAGTTCTGGGAAGACTTAGATGGCCCGATTAGAGTTGTATCTAGTAGTGAGAAGCTTTTTATAGGAGATCTTAATGGGCACGTAGGTACTACAAGTGTAGGTTTTGAGGCAGTTCATGGAGGTTTTGGGTATGGTAGTAGAAATCAGGAGGGGGAGGAAGTTCTGGACTTCGCAGTAGCTTTTGATCCTGATGATAGCCAACACTTTCTTTAGAAAGAGAGAATCTCATCTAGTGACCTTCGGTAGCGGACAACACTCTAGCCAGATTAACTTTGTCCTCGTAAGAAGAAATGACAAACGAGCATGCTTGGGTTGCAAGGTGATACCAGGGGAGTGTATTGTTTCTCAACATAAGCTTTTGGTGGTAGACTTTCGTTTCCAGGTGTGTTCCCGTAGGGATAAACAAGCTAAGATTGAAAGAACAAAGTGGTGGAAACCGAAAAGGGAGACGTCAGAGGTATTCAGGGAAAGGGTTATCAAAGAGGGCTCTTGGAAGTAAGAAGAGGACATAAACAACATGTGGGAGAAGATGGCAACCAACATTCGAAAGGTGGCCTCAAAGGTGTGTAGAGTAACCAAAGGAAGTGGAGGTGAGGCTAAAGATACTTGGTGGTGGAACGAGGAAGTCTAAAGGGCTATTAAGGAGAAGAAAGAATGCTATAGACACTTGTACCATGACATGAGTGTGGACAATATAGAGAAGTACAAGGTGGCAAAGAAGACTGCAAAGCGAGCTATAAGTGTGGCAAATGGTAGAACGTACGAGGATTTTTACCAACATTTGAGTATGAATGAAGGAGAGAAGGACATTTATAGGATGGCTAGGGTTCATGAGAGAAAGACAAGGGATTTCAACCAAGTTAAGTGCATTAAGGATGAAATGGAGCATCTCTTGATGAAGTAGGATGAAATCCGACATCGATGGCAAGAGTATTTTGACAAATTATTCAATGATAAAAATACGAACACAACCTTTTAGTTGGATGACTTTTTAATGACATCAATAGGCGCTTTGTGCGGAGAATCCAAGAATCTGAGGTCAGAGAGATGTTGAAAAGGATAAAAGGAGGTAAGGCGATGGGACCGGATGGTGTCCCAATCGAGGTGTGGAGATGCCTCGGGGACATAGCTATAGTATGGCTAACCAAGCTGTTCAACAATATTTTTCAATCGAACAAGATGTTTGACGAGTGAAGGAGAAGTATATTGGTACCGATCTACAAGAATAAAGGGATATTCAAAGTTATACTAATTATCGGGGAATTAAGTTGATGAGCTATACTATGAAGCTATGGGAGAGAGTTATCGAGCATCGCTTGAGAGCAATAACGCGGGTCTCTATAAACCAATTTGGTTTCATGCCTGGAAGGTCAACCATGGAAGTCATTTTCTTAATAAGACAAGTTATGGAGCGGTAGAGAGAGAAGAAGGACCTACACATGATTTTTATTGACTTGGAGAAGGCTTATGATAAAATACCAAGGAATGTTATATGGTGGGCTTTGGACAAACATAAAGTCTCAATGAAGTACGTACGGGGGTGGTGGCGATGAGAGATGGGGGAAGGGGAGGGAGGAAGATAGGGACGGAGACGGCGAAGGCGCGGTGTGTGTGCAAACTAGTTGGGCCACGGCGAAGACGAGAGGTCGGGCCAGGAGCCCAGGAGCGGGACTGGGCCTGTGTCTGGCTTAGGCCCATTTGGAACATAGGATAGGAAAAATGTATATAGGAATAGAAAAATGTAGGAATTGATATGTTATGTTGCTCTGATCCTATAGAATTCAAAAGCATAGGAAAATAGATACAGCTTGCAGCCCCTCTTTGTGCTTAGTTCTTTTTGTCAGACCTTTTATGGTGATGGATGACAAAGGGGGAGAATAAGTGATTAAAGCTTCAGGGGAAGAGTTAAAGCTTCAGAGTGCTTCATATGTTTAGCTTAGCTTTCTATCTGGAGATTTGTACTGCAACTATAGTGTTTTGAGTATGAGAGAGCTTCATTGTTATATTTTATGAGAGTTGAGACTTTGAGCTTTATCTATGTATCTTATGAGACATGATCTTTATTTATATTAGTGGCTTGTGGACTTGAGAAATCTTTGTGATGAGTCCTAAGTGTGTGATATATATATATATGATGTATTTACTTTCATAAGGATCATGCATGTTTTAGACTGAAAATGTTTGGTGTGATGCTTTCTATTCATTCTTGTGTGATATATTATGTCATATGCATCACGGTCTTTATTTTGTCACACACACTTGCACTCCACGGATGCAATGATTTAGGGGGAGTCTCCTATGTGTTTTAGTATGTGTAAATTGACATTTGAGGTCATTTGTGGATTCAATTCATATTGCACATATTAAGGGAGAGCCTTCCATAAACCATTGAACCCAAAAGCCTAAATTTTTATATCTTTTTGTAAGCTTTAATCGGGTTGTCATCAATCACCAAAAAGAGAGAGATTGAAAGTGCATCTAGCCCCTTAGTGGGTTTTGGATGATTGAATGACAACGCGATTAAATGTCTAACATGTTTGCTAAGTGTGAAATAGGAAATTGAAAGTCTCACATACACTTGAGTTCAAATATAAAGCCAAAATGATGTGTTGTTGTATAAACAATCTAGTTCAAGCATAAGACAACAATGCAAATGGAATTCATGTAAAGACTTATTTATTGTGGGATTTCAATGATTGATGAAGATGGTGTTCTATGGAATTCATTGTATGATTCAACACAAGATGTGACTTGATGGTTTGAGATGGTGAAAATAGCAAGGAAAGGCTTCGAGGTACTAAGCAAGGGTGAAGGGCAAGTGATGGCTTGGCAGCCAAAGAACCTAGCTAGGGTGAAGAAGGAAGTACTTGCATTTAGTTGAGGTACTAATCAAGCTATGATGGTTATATTGATGTGGAGGATCAAATCATTATTAGATTGATTGTTGGAAGTGACTTGATACATTTGGGGTTATCTATATTTGATGAATGGAATCAAGTCACGTGCTCAAGATGGCTATGCTCAAGTGAAAAGATCAATACTGACATGTTGGCACCCTCACTTGATGAAGATTGAAAGACACGGCATTGGTTCAAAGGAGATCAACTCAAAAAAGGTTTAAATTCATTTTTCATTTAATCTTGAGTTAATAGGTATGTCGTACTATTAAGAGGGATGCATCGTGTTGATAGATGATCATTCATAAGTGCTCATGCCAACCCATGTGAGTTTTGTCCGGAGGCTCCAACAAGGGGAGCATAGAAAGGAGCCCAAGCCAGCCACAGACGACGCTGAGGGGAAGGACGGTAGATTTCCGACGCTGGATGGCTGCCTCATGATCTTTGGAGGGTCAGCGGCCTATGACTTCAAGTGCCGCCAGAAGCTTACGCGCTGCGAGGTCTATACGGCCGAGCCGGCCATGCCTACCTTTCTCCGATGGTCGGAGTCCACCATAACCTTTGATCGGACCGACCACCCGAAAAGTGTCCCACAGCCGAGAAGATACCCGCTCATGGTCGACCCGATCATTGGCATGAAACGGCTCACCAAGGTGCTGATGGATGGAGGCAATGGCCTCAACATCATGTACGCTGAAATGCTCGACGCCATGGGCACTGACCGATCGCGTATCCGGCCGACCGGGGAGCCTTTCCACGGCATCGTGCCTATAATGCAGGCCATGCCACTTGGGCAGATAGATCTACCTGTCACCTTCGGGGATCCGACCAATTATAGGATAGAGACCCTTGCCTTCAAGGTGGTCGGGTTCCACAGAACCTACCACGCCATCATGGGACGTCCATGCTACGCGAAGTTCATGGCTATCCCCAACTACACCTATCTGAAGTTAAAGATGCTAGGTCCATGC